ACAGGATGGTCTCGATCTCCTGACCTTGTGATCTGCCTGCCTCGGCCTCCCAAAGTGCTGGGATTACAGGTGTGAGCCACCGCGCCCGGCCTGAAAGTCATTTTGGAACCAGGATGTAATCAAATGATACAGAAAGTAGGAAGGAGAAAAGCAACAAGAGGTTTGATTTAAATTACAAAGTTGGGTTCTTATTAGAATATCCTGAGCACATCCCTGGAGGGAGGGAGTGGGGAAGACAGCAGTGAAAGCAGCAGAAAGGAACTGCCCCCCTCACTTCCTTCAGGTCCCCTAAGCTTCAAGGAAGCATCAAATATCCTCCTTCTCTTTGAACAAAATAAGCCTCAGATTAAAAAGATACCTAAAAGCATCTGATATATGAGCCACTGTGTCTTTCCCTGCAGATTTAAGTTTGATTTCTTTAATCAGTAACCCAGAAACATACCCAGTGCTTTGGAAAAAGTTCTTTTTGCTTCTTTGTCACTTTATGAGGATTTCTGGGCTGACAGCAGAGCACACAGTCTGAGCTGGGAAGCCAAGCTCTGCTGGCTACTCTGAGGCCAGGTGCTGCTTCACTCCAGGGGGAATCTTTTCCAAGTTTGCAAAACCAAGTAAACAGGGTTGAAGCAGAGAGGGGTGGCCACTCCTCAGGGAGCTAAGCTGGGCAGGCAAAAAAAAGTGAGTGTAAAGTCAGAAGCTCAGCTTCAAAGCAGGATTCCTGGGAACCTTCTTAAATGCCTTTCCTTGAGTCCACAGATTAAAGCAGTGTGACTCTCAAACTCCTTCTCTTGCTCAATCACCAGTGCCATCCCAAGCCACTCCTGCGCTTCACTAACTTCTCACGACTTCTAAATCCAACCCCTTACTCCCAGGGGTTTGGGCCTCTGTCTTTGGTTTAGGCCCAAAGTTCCCACTGACTGACGAATATTTCCTACTTGGGTTTCTAGGGAGTACCTTCAAATCAAAACATCCAAAACCAAACTTATTCTTCCTTCACTCCTTAAATCTGTTCTGCTCTCCTTCCTTGGTTCCAACAACCCTGTCCTTCCAGAATTCTCAGGCACCTCCACTCTCCACTCACCTGTCTGGCCTGTCTGCCCTCCCCATACTTATCATCTCTTAGAGGACAGTGGTAGCTTCCTCACAGTCTGTCTCCACTCAGTCTCAACCCTTCCATCGGTCTTTCACATTGCTATAGGAGGGAGATTTCCCACCTACCAGCCTGAACACATCCCCTCCTTCTTCCCTCAGGAAGATCTAGGGAATACTCTCTCTAGTATGGCTTTATTCATGGTCCCCTACCCTCCCACTCTTTCCTTCCCAGCCCCCAGCTTAAGGCTGCTGGACTGCTCACCTGAACATCCTGGCACCTTCTTTCCTTTGCTTATACTACTTCCTCAGGCAACATGTTCTTTCTTGGCATTCTCTGCTCTTGAAATTCATCCTGAAAGCCCACTCAAAGGCCCCTCCTTCACGAGGCCTTCCCTGATCTCTCTCCTCTGGCTGTTCTAGCCCCCTGCCTCTACCTCAGGCCTCTTACTTTTCTGCTGGGCTCACCCTAGTTCAGCAATTCTCAAAGTACAGTCAGGGTCCACAGGCTCAAAACTACCTTCATAATAGTACTGAGATGTTATTTCCCTTCTTCATGCTCATTCTGTCACAAGTTTAAGTGGAGTCTTCTAGAAATTAGGTGGACTGTGAAATCACAACAGAATGAATCTAGAAACAGAGATAAGAAACTATCTGGCTGGGCGCAGTGGCTCACGCCTGTAATCCCAGCACTTTGGGAGGCCGAGGCAGGCAGATCACAAGGTCAGGAGATCGAGACCACCCTGGCTAACATGGTGAAACCCTGTCTCTACTAAAAATACAAAAAATTAGCCAGGCTTGGTGGCGGGAGCCTGTAGTCCCAGCTACTCGGGAGGCTGAGGCAGGAGAATGGCGTGAACCCGGGAGCTGGAGATTGTAGTGAGCAGAAATCACGCCACTGCACTCCAGCCTGGTTGACAGAGCAAGACTCTGTCTCAAAAAAAA